AGAGGTAATATTTTCTCAGCTAGCTTCCCATAGTTTGGTGTCCTTCAGCTACATTGTGTGCGCAATTCCCAGAATTCTTTGCCAACACAGTCAAAAGACATAATGCTTGGCTTTCTAAATTTGTGCCTTTTATTTTAAGAAGCATCTTAATTTTTATGAAATAAATCTGTTACTTACAACAGAAGAAAATATTACCTCTAGTATTAGGGAGATGATAGCAATAGCATTTTAGACTTATGTAACACTTCATAGTGCTTTACAGCCCTTTTTAAGCAGTTTACAGAGTCAGCATATTTCCCCCAACAATTTTGGGTTCTCATTTTACCCACCTCGGAAGGATGGAAGGCTGAACCCGGTGAGTTTTGAACTGCCAAATTGTAGGCAGCCAGCGGTCAACAGAAGTAGCCTGCAGTACTGCACTCTAATCACTGTGCCACTGCGGCTCATGATAAGATGATAAGAGTTGGATCAGTATTACCTCTGGTACTGATCCAACTTTTTATCAACTCCCTTCTTCCATGCAGGGACTTTTACCATTTTTCGGTTAAGTACCTGGCAACCTATGGCCCATTAAGATCAGGACATCAGTTGCAGACCTCACTGGATTGGAAGCTGATCCTGTTTCTTTTTCTCCTTTTTAGAAAATAGACAACCTGTTGCCTGCCTGGTACTATAACTTTCGAGTTACGATGGTGACCTGGGGAGAACCAGAACTCAGCTGCTGTGATACTTCCACTATTGGTTTCATAACTGGTAAAGAGGAAAGTTTGATAAACTTCTGTTTTTTGATGTCCTTCTTGTAAATCTTCATGTTCATTGAAAGGCCCAGGCGGGCTTTCAGGAAGGGTCAGAGAAGAAGCCTGCAGCTGAATATTGGTTGGAGCAAGAAGCGCAGAAGAGACCCTCTCTAGTTTCTTCAGATGTAAAGGAGACAGAGAGATATACACTTGCAAGATTATGTCAGTGTAATTTTACTATAAAGTAGAAATAGTTCTTCTGGCCATATTTTTTGTCTGCTTTGCCCTACAAGGCCAGCAGGTTACAATCAGAAGTGGGTTCCTACCGGTTCGGACGAGTAGGTGGTAACTCGGCTGCCCACGCACCCGAACCGGTTCTATTGGTGGCGCCATCTTGACTTTTGGTTCTGCGCATGCGCAGAACAATCTCCATTTCAGAAATGTTATTTTTCCCCCTTTTCTAACGTTCTGTGCATGCGCAGACCTTTTTTGGTGTAAATGCGCATGCATGCGGAGCGCCCGTTTGGCGTGCGCAGGAGTGAAGCGATTTTTTACGTGCCAAACCAGCAGTAATGCCAGTAGCAACCCACCCCTGGTTACAATGGTAGCACAGGAATTGCCTTTGCTAAGTGATGTGTATACATAATATTGTGCTTTGTGACTCCATTGCATAGCAATAGAAATTCCAGTCCTGATTGACAGTTACAACCCAAGGACTACCTGTAGATCATTTGTCCCCTTGGATTTCCCCCACAGTGAAGAGCAATTAACAACGTGTGTGCATCATATTGCAAACCGCTCCCTGCTTGTCGTAAGATTATATGCACGCACATAAATGGTGAAGTATACATCATAACAGCACAACAGCCATTTGTCATTCTGATGCCATCTGTGGGTTCGGTAAAATGCCTCTGTTTGTTCCTGTCTCATATATTCACGGCATCAGTAAGGGTTTTTTTTTTTTTGAAGAAGGCTTTGGACTGAGACAAATTCATTTTAGCATCATTTTCCAGAGGAAAAAAGTATCTGAAGCTGCACTGTTTGAATCTTAGCTTTCATCTTTGCTTCTTTGAAAGATTTATATCGTATCTTTCGGATAAGCGGTTAAAGATTGAAAAGCAGTTGGTTTGATAGTTACGGTTTTGCGTGAAGACCAGCAAGAGCTCAGCCACAAAAATTCACAGAGCAATTTCTGTTTTGCACAGCAGCCTACTTCAAAGGGTTTTGAGGGGAGGAAAATATTGCAGAACTTACAGTCACCTATTTATATTACACTAGAGAAGGAGAGGGAGCAGGCAGCAGATTCTTAGCTTGCTTAGCCTTATTCTCATACCTATCTTCTTTATCATGCCTCAGGCTTGATAGAGGAAAGTTTTTCATGAGATGACAAACCCCATGATTCAGAAGTATTATTCAACATCACCTTAAGATCCCCACTGCAATATTGCTTCTCCAAAATTCATTGGCATATGAAGTTATTTGAAGTGAAATGACTGTATCTGGACCAAACAGACCAAACCATTAAAGAACATTCAAATATCTAATGCCACCCCAAGGTTTAGTCTGCTCGATGTATTTCTCAATTCTTCAGAGTCTACCGTTCATCCAAATATGTAATTATTTTTTCTGACAGTGGAGTTGATGCACCTTGATTTTGATAGGTGCAAAACACGTTCGGAATTACATGAATTGGAAGGCTAGTGTGTTGCAATTTTTTTCCCCACTCCATTAATATCTCCAATCTAGACAGTGAGTGTAGGTGAGATACAATTCTTAAATAAATCCAGTCTTTTGTTAGCATAAATATCCTATTAAACATAGCTTTGTTTTTTTGGTTTTTTAAAGAAAGCAATCTGACTGACAAAGTTAAAGAAATATATAATAGGAAGCCGTGGTTACTATTCTGTAGCTGGTGCTCTTTCAAAAAAAATATAGAAGACTGTTTCCATTTTCCTTGGCAGATTATTGAAATGTGCACAAAGCTGATTTAAAAACAGAAGAGTCTGCAATCTGATAAAATACACATAACTGCTTCTTCAAAAGCTTAACCAAATAGAAAAATCTTGGGATTTCAACCTCAGAAGTAATATGCCAGTCAATTCCAAATATTTGCATAGCTGTCAGATTATGGAACAATTTTGCTTTCTGACACTTTGAGCCAACTACTGTAGATTTTAATTTAGCCTTGGGAAGAACTCAAGGATAGTACAAGGCTTCAGAAAATGTTGAACTCAACCATTGTTAGGGGAGTAGATAACCAAAGATTTCATCTATCGGTAGGGCATTGGATTAGATTAGGAGTGCCTGGCTGGGGAACTGTGAGACTTAAAGTCCACCAGTCTTAAAGTTGCCAAGGTTGGACACCCCTGGATTAGATGAAGATGTGTAATCTGTGACCCCCAAATTGCATATATCATTCTTCAATACTTTGAGACACTTGCCAAATATCCATGTGAAGAAGGGGAAGAGTATTAAGTATGTAAAGATACTTAAATTAAAATTAAAGGTTAAAGGTTAGGTTTATATGCCGCCCTATTCCCGGAGGGACTCAGGGCGGCTAAAAAACCCAGGGGAGGGGGGTAGTACAATTAAACCTATTAAATTCAGTTAATTCAAATTTAATACAAGTGTGTATTATATTACAATAAAATTCAGTTTTTGTACTGTCGCCACATACTTTTCAGCATAGTGTCTCCAGTATGTCACCCAAGTGCAAAATGAGTCCTTGGTTTGAAAAATGTTGCAATTATAGGAACAGATAACCTTCGATGACTTGTTTGGCAAACTCCTGATGTGTAACGGAGGAGGGAGTCCCTGTGGATTTTACTCGGCTAGTAAGGCTCATCTAAAGGGACGCGGTGGCTTAGTGGCTAAGATGCTGAGCTTGTCAATCAGAAAGGTCAGCAGTTTGGTGGTTCGAATCCCTAGTGCAGCATAACAGAGTGAGCTCCCGTTACTTGTCCCAGCTTCTGCCAACCTAGCAGTTCGAAAGCACGTAAAAAATGCAAGTAGAAAAATAGGAACCATCTTTGGTGGGAAGGTAACAGCGTTCCGTGCACCCTCAGCATTTAGTCATGCCGGCCACATGACCACGGAGACGTCTTCAGACAGCACTGGCTCTATTTCTGAGCCAACATTTTGGTTGCTAAGCAAGAACATTGTTAAGTGAGTTTCACCACATTTTACAAGTTGGCCACTCCCACCCAGTCACATGGCCGGAAAGCCACTCCCACAAATCAGGCCACACCTATAGAAGAGGTTCTAAAAATTTTTGAAACCCACCACTGATATCAACCAGTGAAATGAAGTGAAGAAGAAGCCTTTAAAAAAAGACTGTGCTCTTAATGCAAATAATGTATGTTTGGGGGAGGAAGAACACTATGATGGTTGATGATGATGATAATGACAGCATTTGTTTCTTTGTTTCCTGGTAGCTCCTGTGTCTCCTAAAATCACTGCAGTTGAATATTTCAACAGCCTTCTCTATGTCAGCTGGATCTACGGTGATGGCAACACAGACCTTTCTCACTCTAGAATGTTGCACTGGATGGTTATTGCCGAAGGAAAGAAGAAGATTAAAAAGAGTGTAAGAGTCATGTTGCTATTGGATGTTGCTCCCAGACCAACAACTGTCAGGCCACAAGAAGTAAAACATTGACATTGGTTTCATTACAATTGACAAATGATTCCTTTTCAGCTTTTCCTCGGGAATTATTTTACAAGAATGTGTTCCAACTGCTCTTATGTCTTAGGTAGGCCACCTTATAGAAACAAGGAGTAGAGAAGACAGGTAGTCCTCAACTTACAACCACAACTGAGCCCAAAATTGGCGTTGCTAAATGAGAAATTTGACTTTTGTCCCATTTTCTTGCCACATTTGTTAAGCGAATCAGTGCAGTTGTAAATTAGTGACATGGTTGTTAAATGAATCTGACTTCCCCATTGACTTTGCACGTCAGAAGGTCGCAGAAGGGGATCACGTGAGCCGACACTGCAACCGTCATAAATGTGAGCCAGTGAAAAATGCTCATAAGTCACTCTTTTCAGTGCTGTTGTAACTTCAAACGGTCACTGAATGAACTGTTGTAACCCGAGAACTACCTGTAGACCAGAGGTGGTCTTCAGAAGGTTCTGACCAGTTCTGGAGAACCTGTGGTGGAAATTTTGAGTAGTTTGGAGAACCGGTAAATACCATCTCTGGCTGGCCCCACCCCCATCTATTCTCTGCCTTCCGAGTCCCAGGAGGAAATGGGGATTTTGCAGTATCTTTCCCCTGCCACGCCCACCAAGCCACACCCACCAAACCATGCCACACTCACCAAGCCATGCCACGCCTATCGAACCGGTAGTAAACAAATTTGAATCCCATCACTCCTGCAGACATAGCTAAATGAGGTGAAACAAGAATTGGCAAGCACAGTTTACAGAGCACATTTAGTCTGCCAACTCTTATTATTTGCCTTTCTCACTCTAGTTGGCCATTTTGTAAACAGAAGTACAAGTACAGAGTCAAACTATTCTCCAAAGCACCTGAGGGCAGAACAAGAAGCAACGGGTGGAAACTAATCACCGAGAGAAGCAACTTAGAACTGAGGAGAAATTTCCTGACAGTTAGAACAATTAACCAGTGGAACAGAAATTGCCTCCAGAAGTTGTGAATGCNAGGAACAACTAAAGAGCAGGTGTCAACTTGGGAGTAAGGCCAGACGATGAATGGCCCCTCCCAGAAGAAATGAAAGAGGAGCGAAAGGAGAGTGGAGTTTGCAGGAGACAATTAGTTCGCTTAATTGGTTCGTGACTCTCCAAGACTCCTTGCCAGGTTTTGCAGATATCTGCCTGTCAGCTCTCCAAGCCAGATAAGTTCTGTGACTGTAAATCCTCATTTGAAAGACTGTGCCAGCTATGAATGAGCAGAATTCACAGTAAATTAATTAAAGGGTTTTTTGCTGGGACAAGGAGTTTTTTTCATGCTCTTGCAAAGCCTTGGTCAGAACATTCATTTAGCAACCCTAATAAACCTGGTAATACAATTGGGTATGACACATTTAACAACCGCCTTGCTTAGCAACAGAATTCCTGGTTCCAATTACAGTCGTAAGTCAAAACTACCTATGCTGTGAATGAACTGTCCCTTTAATTAGCATGTCCAGACGTGCTTACTCATACTAGCCTCTTCCTTGTGTTCTCCACAAAGCCACAAGTTCTCTCTTTGCTTTGAGTGAGCCTCGTGTGATAAGGAGCTTCCCGCTATGATCGTCATTTCCTGCTTTTACCTTAACTTGCCCAATCTTTGCTAGACACTTCACAATGCCACTCATTCTGATTACTGTGCATAAATTTCTCTTGCTGTTGCCTAAATTATACACTTATTTTGTTCCAAAGCAAGTTAAGAAACTCCAGAAGTTGGAGGGTGGTGAGGGAGGATGAAGGTCTTCAAAATTTGTCCAGCAAAGATGGCCTATAGTGCAGGGGGTCTCCAACCTTGGCAACTTGAAGCCTGGTGGACTTCAACTTTGAGAATTCCCCAGCCAGACACAGAGCCCTCATCAGAGCCTTCCTCAGTCTCCAGGACCTGTTCCTCTGTTCCTCCCTAACCTCCTCACTGTTTGACTCTGCTGCCAGCTCTGCTGGCCGCTGGCAGGCCACAACAGGTTGTAAGTTGAGGACCTACCTGTACAGCATTGTTAGTGGCTTTTATTCTCACCGATCCTTCCTTCTTTGGAATCTGACCTGCATCCACTTCAACCAGCAACATCTCTCCATCAAGAAATCAGCCTGGGTTTCAAGGGCACCATGCTCTCTCCAGAGTTACGGTGGTTAGATAACAAAAAGAGGCAAGTTTGGGTGCTTAAAATGGGCAGGCAAATAACAGCATTTTCACCACTTGGCACAATTCCATGTAGTAAAGGCACGAAATCTGTACAATGCAAAAGTCTTCGCAATGGAATTGGGTAGGAGAAAGCAGTGTGCTGATCTGTTTCTCTCATTTGCCTTCTGCCAGTTGGAGTATCTAAACAAAGTCCAGATGGCCCTATCCATATTTTGTTTAGTTTTATATGTAAACAAGGAACCCTGGCTTATTTTTCCCAAAACAAGTTGGAATTAAGAGCCAGGAACAACCCGTGATCTTGGATTACATTTAATTACGAGAATGGCTAGAAAGTTTTTGGTCCTGTGCCAAATCTACCCAGCTTTATTTAGCTGCCCCCACTGATAGGAATAGCAAGTGGGAGCCATGGATCAGTAAGTCCTGACATGTCGCTCATTTCTAGTTAGCCCAGAATTCTTTGCAAATTCCGGTTTAGCAGCAAATGCTAAGATGGGCAGTTAATTAAAGATACTGTTATGCTTATTTCTTTAATTGAAAGAATGCATCTCCACCCCATTCTTAATTTGATCAATTTTCTTCTGCTTAAGTATTATCCAAAATTTATTTTAGTTATTTATCACGTGTATTTATATCCTGCCTTGGGGAAAGGGAGGGAGGGAGAAAGATATTTTCAACTTAGTTCATGGTATAAAATACAAAAGCAGACGATAGCACAGAAAAAGGAGGGGAAAGGGAAGAAAGAAGTGTGGAAGAGAGTGGGGGGGGGGGAGAAAAAAAGGGCGTTAACTTCCAACTCCCTCTGCTACAGTAGAATAAAGCATTAATGTTGAACCTCAATTTTTTTTACTTTTCCATAATAGTATAAACTAGACATTTCTATAATGACAAATCAATCTAATTAGTAAAACCCAAAACCAAAGTTTCATTCTTTCCCCACCTCAAGCATAAAGTCCAGAAATGGTTTCCTAATAGAAGCAACAGTGCTTATATTCATTTCTTCGATCAAAACAGTCCATTTAGCCATCTCTGCTGACTGATCAACTTTTGTAGCCATTGTATCCATGATGGGAATCAGGAAGGCTGTCCCATCTTCCATGATCTCATTAAGGGGAGATCTTCAACAGTCCCTCTCTAGAAGAAGATCAGTGCCTTTCTTTGCAAGGCATTGCCTGATAAATTCCATTGTGCTGTTGTTTCTAAGTGAGGGCTTCTAACTCTTGATGCTTCCTTTTAAATAGTTGCAGCAGAAAATCCCATACCCTTCATTCTATATACCATATTTTTCAGAGTACAAGATGCACCTTTTCCCCCCCAAAAAAGAGGATGAAAATCTGGGTGCGTCTTATACGCTGAATACAGCATTTTTGGCCTCCTGAAACCCCGCCCCGCACATTCCATTTTTCTCAAAAATGGACGCACAGAGGATTTGGGAGGCTTGTACAATGTTCCTGGGGGCTGGGAAAAAACAAGTGAAAAAAGGCCCATTTTTCACAAAAATGGGGGTGTTTTTGCTTTCCCAAGCCCCTAGGAGCACTCTACAGGCCTCCCAAAACCTCTGCACAACCACTTTTTGCAAATAATGGGCCCATTTTCGCAAAAAAACAGGCCCATTTTTTGCCTCTCCAACACCCCCCCCCCCATGCATCACAATTTTGCCCTCCCTGGCCCTCAGGAGCACTCTGCAGGCTTCCCAAACTCTCTGTATGCCCTGTTTTTCACAAAAAGCAGGGCGTGCAGAGGGTTTGGGAGGCCTGCAGAGTGCTCCTGCAGGACAGCGAGGGCAAAAACGTTTTTTAATTTACCTCTTCAATATCTTGGTGTGTCTTATACTCTGGTGCATCTTATAGTCCGAAAAATACGGTATAACGTTTATATAATTTCTCAGTTTATAAAACCCCAAAAGAAATAAATATACTTATGGCCATATTTTATGGAAAAATACATTTGCTATTTTGCACGTTAGCCCTCATTCATTCATTCATTCATTCATTCATTCTTCTCATGTTACTACACTTAGGGAGATCCAAACCAAGGAGGCTATAGAAAATGGTCATGGGTTCAGACCAGTCGTGGGTTGTAGGCGGTACGCCCCAGTATGGGCGTACCAGAGCCTGTCTGGAGCACCAGATACTGGTACGGTGCTCCGGAGGGCCCACCCTCCCGCACGAACTCCTTATCAATCTTTTAAGTCTTCGGCGCTTCCAGCATCTATGTGATGCTCCGCTGGGCAGCTGGAGTGTCATGGAGGCGCTAAGATGCATGCGTGCGCTGCGCGCATCCATGTGGATGCAGCCAGGCCTGTTCCAACAGTACTGGTTGGAACGGGATCCGGAACCCACCACTGATACAGACTGTCCTGTGACAATCGCAGGGGATGCTTTGGATTAGCTCAAAACCATTACCTAAAATTTTGAAAGAATGTCTCCAGCAGACTAAGAACGAAATAAAATTAAAGTGTCTTTTCTAGAAGATTTGGAAAATGTTAAGGTGGATTTATCCCGGCCTTAGTACTATATGAGTAATCTCCCTCTTATCACCCGAGCAACTTTTTTGCTCTTTCTCTTCTCTACCTTAAAGCAATACCAGCTTTATTTTTAACACATAGCAAGGGTTTTAACCTGTCCTTACGTCTACTCTTTCTCATTTTTCTAGGTGAATTCAAGCAGCGGTTTCATCGAAAACCTCGTCCCTGGCGCTCAGTACCAAGTGGTCATTTACCTACAGAAAGGACCGCTGGTTGGGCCACCTTCTGACCCTGTTACGTTTGCTATTGGTAATGTCTGTGCACAGGTGTCTCTTTGGTTGTTTTCGCAGTTTGGAAGTCAGTTTTAATGTCCAGGAGCCATGTCATGGAAGGAATTAATTGGCTTTGAAGGCACAACACGATCGTGTTACTGAGTTAATTAGATATTTTGGTCAATACAATGCACTAAATTTTCAATTAAGCAGATGGTCTGAGATTGCAACATATTAAGCTGAAAAAAAGGAACTAAGGTTGTTAGTCTGAGCCAGGGGTGTCAAACTCAACTCCCGCGAGCTGGATCCGGTCCGCAGGGTGCTTAAATCTGATCCGCGGGCCTGGAAATAGCAAAGGACCAGCCTGCAGTGCCTCTCGCAGCCAAAATGGAGCACGGGGGGGGGGGGGGGGGCTCATGTACCTCCCCACACACCCTGTTTTGGCTGGGAGGGTGCTGCAGGAGGCCGTCCAGGCAAAATATGGGGAACAGGGGATCGTGCGGCCCTCCCGTCCCTCTTTTGGCCAGCAGGATGCTGCAGGAGCCCATCCAGGCTGAAAATGGGGTATGGGGCAGGGGGGGGACTCTTGTGCTCCCCATGCCTTGTTTTGGCCTGCAAGGTGCTTCAGGAGACATCCATCCCATCTCTGCCACCCCCTAAGCAGGCCTGCAGAGAAGAACTACAATGCTGATCTGGCCCCCGAAGAAATCCAGTTTGACACCCCTGGTCTAAGCTAACAAAGCTAGCTAAGCATTGCATCTTATAAAACTGCAGCTGGTCAATTTCGGACTACTTAAGGATGCGGTGTAAACCTAGCCACTGGCTATCTTTGAGTTAGGTTTTTCTGCATGGGATTTATTTCACATAGTGGAGAATTTACAGATAGTCCTCAAATTACAACCATTGTCCCAGAAACTATACAAAGTTACAATGGCACTGAAAAAAAAAATAACAATCACCTTGCTTAGCAACAGAAATTCTGTTCCCAATTGAGGTTGCAAGTCAGAGATGAAGGAAGACAGTTTCTCGTATATATTATCATATGTTCTTTTAGGAGAGGTAAGATAGAAAGGTAAGGGNATCTATCTATCTATCTATCTATCACACCTTGGTATAAGACAAAGTAGTTACAAGTTATTGGCACATAACATTTTCACTTTGATCAGGGGTGAAATTCAGCAGGTTCTGACAAGCTCTGGAGAACCAATATCGGAAATTTTGAGTAGTTCAGAGAACTGGCAAATATCACCTCTGGTTGGCCCCAGAGTGGGGTAGGAATGAAGATTTTGCAGTGTCCTTCTCCTGTCATGGCCACCAGGCCATGCCCACAGAACCAGTTGTCAAAATTTTTGAATTTCACCACTGACTTCGATGAATTGTCAGAATCCCCATAAAATGCAAAGACAGATCAAAGATGAAAAAACAGGTGATTGTCAGTTAGCCAGGAGGGAAATGAGCTTTCATGTTTGAATTTGCTTTCTTTTGATTTGGGATTCCTTCATTATTATTATTATTATTATTTTAAATGAACTTCCGCAATTGTGATATAGATTAACATTTTTAACATCCAAGATTTTATAATCATTTGAGAATAGAAAACCAGTTGAGTCATTAATTGTGAGATTATTCAACGCTCTGGGATTCATCCTTGTTCTTTATGGGACAAAAACATTTTCAGCAGCCAACCTGTGCCAACACAAATATACTCATCCTGCAGCTAAGAGTTAATTGAAAAAGGAAGTGAAGTAAGTGTTGAAAAGAGAAGCAAAAGCATGCTGCTTCAGACCGCCTTCCTGTTTTATAGTTGCCTGTTATTGCCAAGAATACTTAGGGAAGACTGAAAAGCTATCCCCTGTAGGTCAGCAGAGTTCAGGATTTTGGATCACCTGCAATCTTTTACTTTATGTGGGCTCCCAATGGCCTACAAGGCGCAGTCAAAGAGACTCTCGTCTTGTTTCTAGATCCAGTTCCTCCAAGATCACTCTTTGCGGTGAATAAAACACAGACCTCCGTGACTCTCTTGTGGGTAGAAGAAGGAGTGGCGGATTTCTTCGAGGTTTTTTGCCAGCAGGTTGGTTCAGATCACGAGACAAAGATCCAGGTATGTGTTTTTTTTATCCTTTATCAATTTCGGATCGCTCCTGAGATACTTAACCTGGGTGGCTCTGCTTTGAAATCCAGCCTCTTTTTGCATGAATCACTGCAATATAAACTTTTAAGTGAAAAGACACAGCTTGACCCAGTGATGCTACTCATTGTGTTGATGCACTGATTTAATTCAAAAGACACTTAACCACTCCTGTTGCCACTTACCACTTCTAATTGTTACTTAGCAATATACGGAGACAGAAACTGGCATAATGATACAAGCCCTGTTCTTTCCTACATGTGTCATGTAATATAAATGCTGTAAAGGAATGGAACTGCCAGATAAGGTAAAGGTAAAGTTTCCCCTTGCACAGATGTGCTAGTCATTCCCGACTCTAAGGGGCGGTACTCATCTCCGTTCCAAAGCCGAAGAGCCAGCTCTGTCCGAAGACGTCTCCTTGGTCATGTGGCCAGCATGATTAAATGCTGAAAGTTCATGGAACATTGTTATCTTCACACCAAAGGTGGTCCCTATTTTTCTGTTTGCATTTTTACATGCTTTCGAACTGCTGGGACAAGTAACTCACTCAGTTATGCAGCACTAGGGATTCGAACCGTCAACCTTTCTGATCGACAAACTCAGTGTCTTAGCCACCGAGCCACCACGTCTGGATACCACCATATATAAGATAGAAATGGAGCTATGCCAGCTAACCACCATCCCAGTCTTCAAAACATTGAGGTTTCCATTCTACCCAGAATTAGTTAGCTAGATTCAAGTGGGCTCCTTTCCTACATTCAGTTGGATCCTGGAGAGCATTTGGCTGAGTGTCAGAACTTTAACAAGAGTCATGACTGGTGAATACATCTTGATTCTCTTCAACATGTGGAAGAGGTGTACTAAGAGTAAATTATCCATATCTTCCCC